AATTTTTTTTGGTTTTGCCCCCCCCCCCCCATCACTTTTCTAATGGTCCGTCCCTAAGCACTAAAATATACATGTCAAATTATTGAACTGTTCAATCATTATTTGTGTTTCACTTATAGTCGCAACAGAACTGTCCATTAAATAGTCTTTTGTACTAGCATATTTTGTCTTCTGTGTAAAGCAAAATAAATAGAGAATACATGGGTGCGCGGAATACCAGATTTGAAAATAAATCTGGTATTTCCAAGCACCCATGTATTTTTCTGTTTATTATATAAAGGACAGTCTTTGAAAGCGATAATTTTTACAGAAAAGCGATAATTGAAAAGCGATAATTTTCACATGCGAGATTATCATAAATAATCTCACATGCGAGATTATCACTTTTATCAGTGCTCGAAATCTCTATAAAGCACTATACTTTATATAATAAAGAAAGGTATTGTACACTTAAGAGAATGTATTATCTAATTTTGAGCCAATCAACCGTACAAAGCAAAAGTTGTTCTTTGAGCAATATTTTGCAAATTCAAATGTTGATTGAACAGTTGAATACTCTGATGTAATAATTCAAATCCGACTATGAGGACTGGACTAGATTTCAAGTCCGCACAATTTGATCAAAATGCGAGAACTGGTTCAAAATGCGAGGACTTGAAGTCCAAGTCCGAATTGGAGGATTTGAAATGACATCTCATACGAATAAGTGATTTATTCGTATGAGATGTCATTTCAAATCCTCCAATTCGGACTTGGACTTCAAGTGAGGTGAATTAATTTTGATCCAGTCCTAGGACTGAATCAATATACTCCACCAGGTATCCAGTACTATCATATGAGCAAAATAAAGCAATATCACAGAATAAAGATCAGTAACAGAAGGGCCACTCAGCGGTGCAACGTGTCCTCGTTTTTTTATGCAAAAATATGCAGTTTACTGGCCAGAAGGCGGAGCCGCCAGCCACCAGTACAGCGTGTTTATTGGCCAGAAAATGTCATTGACTGGCTAGGAAAATGGCGGCCAACATGCGTAATGCGCGAGGACGGAAACTTCAAAGCTTCCGACGTAAGTAGACCTTCTATATGGATCTTTATTCTATGGCAATATGGTTGGCTAATTTACTCATGAATTATTAATGAGTCTGAGATATGCACATTCTAACCCATCCAGTCTCAACTATACATGTTATAGTTCAACTGTAATTTATCCTTGCGCACAACGCGTCATTTGGATGCGCAGATTGCCATTTTCATACTATGGATATAGCATGAAAATAGTGTGGATGAACTATGGGTTTGGTGCTGCAAATATAATTTCCATGTAGTATGGATTTCACAAATTTTTTCCAGTGATAATAGGTGACCGCACAACCTTAAGATTACAGTATACGTATACAATTTTACATTAATCATTAACTGAAGTATATTATACAATCACAATAGCCTGGACTGCGACCAGGTTAGACTAATTGAATGATCAAGGAACACGGGCTTGTTACTCTTTGGAAAACAAAAGATAAGCTTAGCCTCTTACTCTTTGGAGTACAAAAAAAGTGTAGATAAGCTGAGCTTCTTACTCTTTGAAATACAAAAAGAAATGTAGAAGCGTGCGTTCGTCCATCGTTGAACGAGGTTAACATGCTTTTACACGCGACAGAGTGTTAAAACGAATTCAATATGTTTATCTTTTAACATTAGATCGACATGTTGAATCCTTTTAAACAGCTCTTTAGTACAAAACAAGTTTGAATCGAAGTAAAAAAAAACACGCGCCCGAAGTATGCAAAATAAGCCGGCAATTTGGACCGCGGAGCGAGAAAAAAAGTTTTTACAGTATAGAAAAAATCTAGAATCCTTTTCCGGCTGATAATTTCAGCAAATATAGAACAAAAGTTATTTCGAATAAGGAGTTAATAATATTAACACACAATTTATAAAAATTGTATATTTCGAATCAAATCTGATTCATCTTCAGCAGTTTCTTGCAAGATATGTCGTTATATTACAACCGTAAGCAATTAATGTAACGACATATCTTGCAAAACACCATTTGATTCGAAATATACAGTTTTTATAAATTGTGTGTTTATATTATGCACTCCTTATTCGGAATAACCTTTGTTCTATATTTGTAGAAAAAATCTAATTTAACCACACTTTTATGTCATCACACACCGGCGGCTACTTCAACACTAATGGGGATAACGCCCGTTATTACTATTAACATACTTACCAAAGTTCAGTCCCAAAATACCTGTATAGAGGAGGCTCATTCACTGTCTGAGTTTCGTTTGTTTTTCTTGCCCAATATTTTCTTCAGTTTTTTGGACATGTAGTAAGGTTTCTCTTCGGAGCCGTCGTTGCGTTCCAAGTCTTCCACTAACGTCGACAGAAAATTGTTTATTTTAGTTCTTGGTAAGGCGTGGTATTGTGTGGTGAGAGCCGCGATATGTGGTATGGTATGGTGTGGTTGTTATGGTGGGACATGGTAAAATGTGGTTATAGTATGGTATAGACGTATAGTATGATAAGATAAAACAAATTTCAAAGAGATGCATCTTAAAATCCAAGATCAAAATCAAGACAATATTTTATATACAGTAAATTAATTTAACAATAATTTTAAATGGTATGGTATGGTATGGTATAATGTGGTATGGTTTGGTGAATGGTGTGGTGGTATGCTATGGTATTGTTACTTGAGTGGTATGGTATAGTATAGTATGGCAAGGTGCAGTATGGTATGGTAGTATGGTGTTGTATGGTAGTATGGTGTTGTATGGTGGGGTGTGGTGATGTGTAGTGTGGTATGGTACTGGTGTGGCAATTTATGGTACACTGTATCTTATACAGTACTGTATCTTATACAGTATAGTATGGTATATCGTATGGTGTGGTAATACAGTATAGTAAGGTGTAGCATGGTATGGTATAGTAGGTCTATTTCAACCAGGTAGCCCATTCACATGATACCTACGAAGCGCGTCAATCAGACGGGATAACGACACTGCCGAGCCCAAACGGCTCATACAAACAGCAACAGAATAAAATCAGATACTCACAGAAGCACAAGAAAAGTGTATCGATAGCCATCTCATAGACGCTGAAGAATGCAGTTGCGATAACGTAAGTAGCAACTGTGATTATCTAAAACGAAAGGTAAAAAAATACGGTATATATAAAACGTTCTGAGAGAATTTCCAAGCGAGCATGTACAGTACTGTACTTACAATTACTGGTGCCAAAAAATAATTCAGATTTTTATCTCGTTCAAACCAATAAAAACTTCCAACAGCTGAAACGGATAAAATTTGGTTTAACTAATAAACATTAGGGCCACATTGATAGAGATTTCAGGAAAGATTAAACATTTACAGTTGCATAATTTGCGACAGCAACTGGTTGGGTTTGAGCAGCATGCAAAAACTATGTAACAGGCACTCACCCATCGCAAGAGTTATGGTAACTTTGCCAATAAATAACAAGAAATCTGTAACTTTGTCCAAAACAACAACTCTAGAACGTTAAGAAAAACAACTATTAGAGAATGTAGTTTAAAGCTATTCGGTATAAATAAAGCGAGTATACTGTATTTGATAACCAGACATAGTACTACAATAGTACAATGCATGCCAAGGCTTATGATTCTAAACAAACTAATAGACTAACACGCTCACGCAACGAATACACGGCACCGTAATTAAGTTGAGTTTGGTTTAAGTTTTATACGTAGATTAAATGATCGTGCGAACATACCTCACGACATTTCGCATCAACAGAAAGAAAGCGTTTTTAGCCGAGACGCAAAAGTTCTTCCCATATATGGCAATCTGTGCGAGGAAACAAAAAAATATAAAACACTGTGCTTACTATTTACGACACGATGCTTGAAATTCCTGGAATTATATTTGAAATACACTGTATACCTCAATGTACGCGTTCTTGTTTAAGAATTTTAGGAATTTTTCCAGACACCAAAAACAGCATTTTAGACACCTTTACAAGAGACAGAAAGAGAACGATACAGGTTAAGGAACTGTACAATTTTATCCGTAAATCAACTGTATGATATATTTTATGAACTGAAAACTCCAGGGGCGGATCTAGCCTCATCTGCAAGGAAGGGTCAAGGGTGTTTCCACGGGGTGGTGAATGAGGGAGCCTTACTGCCAGCTGTCCTCTGCAACGCTACTATCCCAATATTACCAGTTATTTGAGATGGCCGAATCTGCATGTTCGCCATTCTGTTATACGTTTTACATTATCTTGTGTTTATAAAGTTTATATCGGTTTTTATCACGTGTGCGTGACCTGACAGTTGCTGTAGCACCACAGTACAGTAAGTACAGTATATTTGAAAATATGGCTGTACAACAACCTCGACATGTTTACATATTTAACTATGATATTAACTAAAGCATTCTGAGTATTTTCTCGTGAGCTCACAAGTCCATTGGGTCGTTTCAAGAAATCGACACGCGTTAACAGTAGAAGTTCTGCTAAGCGCTATTGGAAAAGCAGAATATGTATGGTCAAGTACATTTTTTTAGGGTGGTGCTGGACTTCTTTAGGGGAGTGCTAGACACCACTAGTAGGAGGGGGGGGGGGGGGGGTGGCGCACCCCCTTGCGAGTTCACGGTAGCTCTGAATAACGAAACAAACGAAGCTCGCCGTTTTAATAGATATAATATTCAGCTTACTTCATGATATATTTCACGATCTGATTGTTTTGACCAGATTCTGGAAGAAACGAAAAAAAATAGGGATGAGAATACAATTGAGTATTATACTATTTATAAAACCCAGCTAGTTTATAGTACATATACCTTTCAGTTTATGTTCGATGTATTCTAGCATCGCTCTGATGATCTGTACGATGGCAATTATCAGCGAACCAAAAGCCAAAGATCCAGTGTGGTATCTAAAAAATTCAAACACGCAAATGGTTTATTCAAACTCTCGTATCTATTCCGGGAACATTTCACGCAAGAAAGGGTAATGTGATATTATATAACTGTACATGGTTAAGAAATCCCGCAAATCACGCGAATTTATCTAACCATGTATCACACGAGGTTTTTCTCTTCCTCGCGCGAACCGCGTAATGACGCACATGATGGCAGGGGCGTAGCTAAGGGCCGTGTCCGTCGGCACAATAAATGAGTTGTCGGCAAAATGAATTGGATCAAGCCAATAGGCAATACCTGATTGGAGAGAGATTGCTTGTAGAAAATTTGTAGAAAATGCAAGATCGAAAAGATGGATATGTCGACTGAAAGCTCGGCCCTTTTCCGAACATTCAGCCAAATTGGCCAAGAACTTATTACGCTAATACGCTATTTAATAGTATTATATTTTCTTGCAATTTTGTGAAATATGATACCATAGGAAACTCGAAGCACATGTGCGTGTTGACTGTTCATACGTCTGCGCTTCATTTCATAATTTTGTAAAGCCAGTAAAAGTCTTAGAAATTACACCCTAATGGTCTTATATACAATGAGAAATACGAAGATGATTTAAAAGTATGGACAGTAGCAAGCAAAAACGCAAACGGAAGAGAGAGAAACTGACGTGTTTAGTTTGTAATCGGTCGTTTGATGACGATTAGATGTGCTTTTTTGACATTTATACCAGGTATTTTAAGGAACTATTTCGCCTATTTTAAAAATAAATTATCTTACTACTCGGATTTCATCGTTGTACATCACTTAAAAATGAATACGGTTCGTTTTGACCACGCCCTAACAACGTGCTAGCCACGCCCTTTTGTCGGCAAAAAGTTGTCTTGCACCTGCCAGTCTTGAATTCTTGATTACAGTGTTACGAAACTTATCATTTATACATAAGATTTTAGGTAAAAATAAAATAACAGACGATGTTTGCTTGAGAGCAGGTGAAATGTTCGTGCAAGCAAATATTATTCTAAGCATAATGAGAAGAGATAATGGGTATTTTGCCACAAATCAAAGGAAAGTAAATATTTCGGTTCTTCGGAAAACATTCATTATTTCTTCCATTAGGCTATGACAGTTTGTTAAACTAGCTGCCGTTGTGTATGTAAAGATGTCATGCTGTGATTGACCTGTTTCCTATAGTTTATCTTGTGGGCAGACTTGTTTAAAGAGAGCAGCTGCCTGAGGTCTCATGAACATTGACCTTTCACGTGGACAGGCTATAAGCGTAAAGAGGAGTCATCCTAAGCTGGATAACACTCGTTCATGCAATTAAAATATTACGCCATCAAAATCTTAGTTCGATAAAATTGCGAGTAAATTTAGTTTAGTAGGTAAAGTAAGGTTCACATATGTATAGGTTGAAGATTTTACTATGATATGTTGATAAGTATTTCAAGTTGTGAACATTTTTAACATTGATCGATTGAACAGCGAATCGACTCGACAAATGCGACAACGCCTTAAATAAACAGAATTTGAGAGCTTGAACGAGCTAGCAATACCAACCCACTCTTCCATAGCTCAACGTTAATTGGCTGGATACAGATCACACCACTTGTTAGATCACGTGTACAAAGATCCCCGCAACCGTTAGTATAAAAGGGTGTGCACAACGGAAATTCGTCAGTGAAGTGAGTGAACGTAGATTTAGTTAAAGTGCACATGACATGAAATTTATTATTTTCTTAAATAAAAGAACTCTTTAAGCTGTAGTGTAATTTATATTTCAGTTTCTTGTTTTTATGGTTTGTTCCCGAGATATTTCAATTTGTTTGATATGTAAATGAGTGTGAATATGTCCGCTAATTTATCACGTCACGTTGGTTGAAAGCTCTTCAAAATGGTTGAATATCACTGTTTCATCCAAGAAAATTACTTCAAACTTCCCTCACTGGTAAATGTAATGCAACACTGGAGAAAAACGTGAACTGATATCTTCAGTTTTTAGAGTTAATACATTTATAGCCAGTGTAAGTTGAGCTTGTAACTTGTGACGTCATAAATTAGCGGACATATTCACACTCATTTACATATCAAACAAATTGAAATATCTCGGGAACAAACCACAAAAACAAGAAACTGAAGTATAAGTTACACTACAGCTTAAAGAG